GTGGCTGGTGGGTTTGAACCGCCAGCCTTCTGGTTAGCAGTCAAGTGCCTTAGGCACTATGCTACCCGAGCTCCCTAACACAAATTAGCAACATCTTAATATCCTCAAAGGCCAAATGAAGGAATAATAGTCAAGCAGCTTGACAGTTTCCAAGACTTTACTTTCAAGTTGTTTTCCTTGAAATCCAGGTAGAAAAGTCACCAGGGAGTTATCTCAAGTATTTCTTTGTGGGAGCCATATATACCTTGTTGCCTGAGTGTCCACTGGGGAGAAAGGGGGAAGAAGGGCTTGAGGAACTCCTTCTCTAAGTTCCAGCCTCATCTGGAGTATGATGGGTTACTGAAGAAGGTTAGAAAGTAACCAGAAGAGAACTTGGGAAGAAAATGACTCTGGGAAAGAGAGGTAATTGAACCTAAGAATGGAGAGTTGAAGATAAAGACATGATTCACCCTGTGGGTAGCAGAACTGACCAAGAGCAAGGAAGTCCAGAATTTTTAAGTCTTTGTGCCAACGGCATGGAATCTTCAACCCAGGAAAAACAAGTTAAAGAAAAACAGAAAGAGATGCTACTGCAGAAGCCCAACCAAAATGATAGGATGGAGCCATGTTTCACAGGATTTGAGTGCCTGGCCCTATTGGGATCTTTGTGCCACCTTGATAGGACTCTTAACAGCATTTTAATAGTCCTGGGTTAAAAGAAGATTGGATAAATATTTGCTGCTATTCTGAACCTGGCAGGCTGGTGAGTCTGCCCATTCCAGAGTCCACGGAGAAGGGGAGTGGAGTCCTGTTGAAATTTCTGCTAAAGACACAGCGACTGGGAGTTTGTACTCATTCCCATGCTATCCTCCTACCAGGCAGAGCCACTACTCCATCACTTTCACATGAAGTCTACTGCTAAGTAGACTCCACCATCTCTTTCTTGTCCAAAAGGAGAAGTGTGATTTCTTGAGGAGGAGTTTCACAGGGTAAAATGGGGTTAAGCATTGGTCTCCTAACTCTCTGAGTTAAATTTAGAAGGAAGTAGAAATGCTTTTGAAAACAAATAGAAAAATGGGAAGAGATGGTTGTGTTTTATTTCTTTTCCCCAAGGGGAAAAATATATATCATGTGCTTGGAACTTGGGCCTTAGCTGCCTAGCCTTTTCTAGCTATGACAGGTAAGGACATCAGATAGTCAAGAGACAGTAGAGAGTCTGTTAACAGGCTTTGCAGTGGACATGTAGTGCTGGGGGGTAAATCTTTGCTGAAGGGCCTAGATCTGCTCTCTGACTCTTGCCTTATCTGGTTACACCCATCTACAAGAGCCTAAGACTAAGTGTAGAGGAAGAGCATAAGCTGCCCCCAAGTGTTAAGGGAAGAAAGAATACCATGAGAAAGGAATAGTGTCTCTAATGACACTGAAGTCCTCACTAGGAAACTGAAAGACAGGGTCTTGTGATAGATTCTCCCTCCTTTTTTTTTTTTTTTGGTTGAAAGTTGTGACTTGGGAACAGGAAAATAAGTGAACAATTAGCTACTGAGATGGGGTATGTGGTAGTTAAGTTTGTGTGTCAAGTTGGCTGGGCCTGGTTGAGTGGCTGGGCAGCTGGATGTAGTATTACCCATGATGAGACTGGTAATCAACTCCATGGTGAAATCTACTGTGAGCAGCTGAGTAGCTGCCTTAGGGATGTGGTCTGTTTCCTATGTATAAGGAGAAGTTTTGGTGAATGGTCTCTAGCTTATGGCACAATGGAACCCTGCATGTAGCCGGGTCGTTGTTCAGCAGCCTGCCATGCTCTGCTGATCTTGGGACTTTTAATAGACTTGAATTAATGGCCTGCCATGTGGTTTGGTAATATCGTGACCGTGCCTTATTACTTGTCAACCTTGGGCTTATCAGCCTCAGCAGCCAGCAGATAAGTGAAGAAAAGCCTCCAGCTTCAGTGAATCAGGAGCAAGAGGCAGAGCTGAAGTCCAAGGTTGAGGCATTTTTCACCCAGCCCCTAGAGCCTGGCACTTTGAACTTGGACTTAAAGCCTCCAAACTGTAAGAGAATAAACTCTTGTTGCTTTAAGCCATCCCATTTGTGGTATATTGCTGTCAGGGTGGTACTAGGTAACCAGAACACGATATAAAAAAAAGAAGCTGTGATTTCATGGACCAGAGCTGATAGTGACAGATTTATAATTTCGTGCTGAAGGTAAGCATGCCTTAGAAAGATGATAAGAAGGCTGAAGTTAGGTGCCTGTCATATTTAATGTCAGGTATAAACTGAAGAGGAATAACAAGGATAGTATTGGAAAGGACATAATAGAAAGAGCAACAGATATAACAAAAACAGCAACAATGAAAAACATTGAAGTGGAAAAGGAAGTACTCAAGACAAAACAGGGAAGAGAGCTGTGAGTCTTGTCTTTGTAGATAGCAAAGTGCACAGCATAAAGAACAAAGCAATCTGGATTTTAACCATAACCACACACATGCACACACGCAAATAAAAGTTATGACTGCTAGTAAGAGACTCATGACTCCATATGTAAAGAAAACCTCTATACCAAAAATAATTGAATCAATAAAATGGATGGTAGCATCTTAAAGATATGTATGAAGGGAAACCTGTGTGAAAAACAGTGAACCTACGAAAAGAAGAAGGATGGAGGGGTAGAAGAAGAGCTTCAAAAGAGAGATAAATCAATGTTGGTGGAATATTTACCAGCCAATATTTATGAGTATCCACTAGGCATGGGGCATGCTCCACACAAGGATTCTACCTGGCAACTCACATACCAACCTAACCAGCTGAGTAGAAGCATCCCCTCTTTACAGATGAAGAACAGAGCCATTAAATTCTGCACCAAGTTTCCAACAGACAAAGAGTTTTCTATGTAGAAAGTGTCTTAGAGGCCATCTGGCCATGTCATTACTGATGAGGAAACTTAGAGAGACAAAGTGAGGGTCCAGAGTGTCACAGGTTATCCAGTATCTTGTTAGCTAGACAATCATAGGGAGGTGCTTTGCTACTACCCAGAACAAAGGGGTCTTGGAAGGATAAATGGGGGCTCAAAAGTATAGTCATTTGTCTCACACACAACAGGTGGGTCTTTGTGGCCCTGAAGTGTGTGTGAAGTTTTCATAGGGGGTCAGGAAAGAGTTAGGGCTGTTCAAGACTGAATCATTATGGTGGGTTTAGGATTTCACTTCATTAATCCCTCTATAAGGAGGCCTGGCTACACAATGTTTATGTGCTTGGCTGTAAACTAAGAAGTTGGCATTTTGAACACACGCAGCAACTCTGCAGAAGAATGATCTGACCTTCTGCACCTGTAAGGATTTGTTGTTTGTTGTATGTCATCAAGTACATTCCAACTTCTACACTCTGTCTCACTCCACACCAAAAAAAGAAGAAAAAAAAAAAAAAAAACCCACTGAACTCACTGCCATCGAGTCGGATCTGACTCATAGAGACCCCCTCCTTGGGTTTTTGAGGCAATATCACTATGGAACTAGATTGCCCAATCTTCCTTCCAAGGAGTTGCTGGTGGGTTAGAATCACCAGATTTCTGGTTAGCAATGAAATGCCTTAGGCACCATGCTACCATAGCTCCATCTGTGCCTGTAAATATTTGTTGTTTGTTGTATGTCATCAAGTATGTTCCAACTTCTACACTCTCACCCATTCCATAGGACAGAGTAAAACTCATAGGGTTTTCTCTGCTGCAGTCTTTATGGGAGCTGGTCTTTTCTCCCATGAAGCTGCGGGTGAGTTCAAACCACCAACATTTTGGTTAGCAGCCAAGTGCCTCAAACACCTAGAAGACCTTATGGGGCAGTTGTACTCTGTCATACAGGGTCACTATGAGTCAAAATCAACTTGATGACACCTAACAGTCACTCTATGAAAAATAAACAGGTACAGTTTCCTCATGCTCTCACTCTTCTTGTCTGTCAGGGAGCAGGCACAGGACCATGAGCAAAATGGGAGTGGGCATTTGAGGGTTTCAGGAAAATTAAGGTGAGATATATGATGTTTCTATCAATATACTTTAAAAAAATAGAGACTTAAAAATTTAAAAGCTTTAAATCAGTAACCCAAGCAAATCAGCAAGAAAGTCTAGCTGTTTCAAGGCACTCCTTTTAGTTATCCATATCCATCTTCCTACAACTATTAACTGCCTGATGGGAAACTCTGTAGTTGCCTCCTTTGCCAGCATCTATTTACCTAAAAGTTAGAAAACAAGATCTTCAAAAGCAAGATACTCTTTTCTAAGTTGATTCCAGAAAATTTTAAAGAATTGCTAATGTTTAGAGTCATTCTTTGTTATGTGTCATAAAAACACAATATACCCACTGCCACTGAGCTGATTTCAACTCACAGCAATACTATAGGATAGAGTAGAACTGTCCAATAGGGTTTCCAAGACTGTAAATCATGGAAAAGGAAGTAGATTGTCTCTTTTTTCTCTCCTAGAGCTGCTGGTGGGTTTGTACTGCTGACCTTTTGGTTAGCAGCCTAATGCTTTAACCTCTGTTGTTGTTGTTGTTGTTATATGCTGTCGAGTTGGATCCGACTCATAGTGACCCCTCCTTGGGTTTCCAAGGCAATATCACTATGGAAGTAGATTGCCCAACCTTCCTTCCCAGGAGTGGCTGGTGGGTTTGAACCACCAGCCTTCTGATTAGCAGTCAAGTGCCTTAGGCACTATGCTACCAGAGCTCCCCTTTAACCTCTATGCCACCAGAAATCCTTATTCTGGTGATAGTCCATGATGAAAATATTAAATTTTCTACTTGCTAACTAGGAATCAAATGAAATGTCTAGCTGACATTTTACAGGATTCATTTTGAACCATCAAGCATTCTTTAAAATGTAGTATTATCTAATCTAATAAATAATAAGACAGAAAATGTCCTTTACATCTTTAGAGATTTATGGCTATCTGTTGGGCCATCTACTGCCAAGTTCTCATTCAAGAGAAGCAGCAGAGAGTGCAAAGCTTCTGCCATCTTCCATGGTTTGCTCTCCACTAGAAACTGATCCCTGAATGTCTGCAGGCTTTGTCCAATTCCTGTGAGTATCTTCTCAAGCAGATTTTCCTTTTGCCACTGAACAAGCACCTGTGAATTTAGAAACAAAGATATTATCACTAATAATAATAAAGATCATAGTAATTAGCTAAGAAATGTTAACACACCATCCATGTTAGAGCACACACAATTTTTATTTTGCTGGCAAATTGAAATGTCTGTTATAATTGTGTTATGATTTAGCTTCTACTCAGAAATTAAATATTTCAAATTGCAAAAATGTATGTATGCAACTTTTTAATTTGTCCTTGTTTCCTCCTTTTCTTTGCTAATTATCATTCCCAAAAGAGAAGACAATATAAATTATTTAAGAAGTAAAATATAATATAAAAAAGTAAGTAACTAGAACATGGTGACATTTTAATTGAATATAAATATATATTAATATACTTTACTTATATAGTTTAATTAATATATAGTTACTAAATACCATTTTATATCAAGGACTTGAGGATGATGGCATTAAAAGCAATTAGTACTACATGTTTTCATCAACATTTACACCAAAACAGATCATTAATGCTGAACCAATATACCACTGTGACATGCATGATAGACATTTATGTGTGATAAATTCTCCATTGTTTGAGATTATGACTGTTACAAAGGACACCTATTAGGAAAGAAAAGTTGGAGAGGTATGTTCTTTGTGATACAAAACATTTGTGTTGTTGTTATGTGGCACCGAGTTGGACCCGACTCATAGCTACCCCTCCTTGGGTTTCTGAGGCAGTATCACTATGGAAGTAGATTGCTCAACCTTCCTTCCAAGGAGTAGCTGGTGGGTTTGAATCACCAGCCTTCTGGTTAGCAATCAAGTGCCTTAGGCACTAAGCTACCAGAGCTCCCATGGAAAATGTGTTACTTGATAAAAGGAACAGGAAATAATTGTCATGTGGACATCTACTTCACTACTCCAGAGCCTCTCCAAAAACTTAAAAGTTCTGAACTAGCCAGGAACATTGTGGGCATTTGACATTAGTAATAAACACTGTGGGCTTTGCAGGTGTTCTTCAGGCACTTTGTACTGATATAACACCTCTGGTGAAAACTAACCATAGCCATCTCATTGTTTACCTTTAAATCATAGTCACTCTTGGAGTGAAGAAAAGTCAAACAAGCACTCAAAATGATATAGGGATGCCAAAATACTTGTTTCAAAATAGCCCAGGTAAAAATCCCACATATTAATAATAGATTGTTTTTCTAGGAACCTCTGAACGGACAAGTATATGTTTAAGCCAAAGTCTGATAGCAGATGAAGATGGAATCTTTGGCCAAGTAAACACTGAGGGCCTTACAAGTTGCAAGCTGCTGTTGCACACACGGTAGAAGTTATACATTACTAGGATATGGGGATCGTAAGGCTTTTCCTGGGAAGGACATACAATCCAACAGTTGAAAGATAGGGGAAAATGTGAATAGATTTGGACCTAATTTCAATAGCACACATTAGGAAAGAATAGCTTTCAAATTACACAATACCTGTTTGTAGACTTTGAGCCAACTGACTACACGAATAAGATAGTCTTTGGCTTCTGACCACTTGGGATGACAGTCTCCAAGGTGACCTTCTCCATCACTTGCATTCTCTAATGTGGTGGTCACAATCGACTCTAATGACCTCTCCGTGGGAACCTGGCAATGGTATGGAAAATATGTACAAGTGGAGCTTTTTTTCTATAATTGTTCCCTTCTGAGAATAATTTCATAATCTTATAAAAGTAAAAGTTTCGTGGTTCAAGAAGTAATAAGATGATGGATAAGGATTGTTGTTTATGAGGTTTATGTAAACTGACTTTGAAAAAAAAAAAATTATATTTTTCAGTATAACCAGAATCAATAGGAGCAGCTGCTTCTCCAAGATCAATGACTAGGCCAGAATATCAAACATTGTTCATCCTCACACTTGTGCCAAAAGCAAACATGGGCAGTTTAATTGATACACTGAGCTAACAAAATTGCTTCATCTGGAAAATTTTCTTTTCTAATTATCAAAAATAGATGAAGTTTGGACTTTTCAAATTGAAGTTCTGGGCCACAATTTCAAGTACTATTGAAGATGGGTGGTGAATAAAATTTTGAGGAAGTGGCAGATGTGAGACAAAAAGCAAAAACTGCTTATGACTCAGCCAAACATGACCCTTGATCAGTGGAACCATTTTTTCCAATGCCACTCCAGCATCTGAGTCAGCAGTCTTTGTAGGAATGGCAGGCTGGCAGTCTACAACCTAGACTAAGACCACAAATCCACTGTGAGGGGTCAGCAAAGCCTCAGACAGGGAAAATGAGACTCTCAGGACGCTGTATACAGAGAGGTCAAGAGAGAAGAGAACCCTCAAAAGCAGCTTTCTGCACAAAAACAGTGACTACATTTAGATGGGAAAGTACTACTATAAAATCAGGTACTGGAAATGCACAGGGACCTTACACAGGTACCAGTATCTGGTCTCCTCCATGCCCCAAATATGGGCTGAGTCCCCTAAGAGAAGATGGCTCTTCTCTAAACGTTCAATCTTGACCAAGGATCTGCAGTAGAAAAGTTCATGCCCTTCTTGGAACCATGGTTTTTGGGGACATCAAGCACAATTGGCATACCAGAGTACACAAAAACATTGTTCTATATTCTGCTTTGGTGAGTAGCAACTGGGGTCACAAAAGCTTGCAAATGGCCATCTAAGATGCAACTCTTGGTCTCTCCTCATCTGGAGCAAAGAAGAGTGAGGAAAATCAATGACACATGGAAACAATTAGTCCAAGGGACTAGTGGACCATGGGAAACTCAGTGTACATGACCCCAAAACCAAAAAACCCAGATGTCGCCCAGCTACCACTGCCAACCACTCTGAAATAGATCAAAATGGGAGATCTTTCAAAGTGGAAGAAAAATGTGGAACAAAATCATAAAGACCAAGATTACTGGTTTAATTGAGACTGATGAAACCCCTGAGACTATGGCTTCCCTAGTCATACTTTGGGCCTGGAATTGAATTCACTCCTGTGGCTTAACTTTCAGCCAAGCAATAGGTGGAACTTCAAGGGAAACACTTACACCAGGAAGGTACAATCCTTAGAACAATCAACTTTGGGAGATCAGAAGGGCAGAATTTCTGCAAAGAGAAAGCTCAAAAGGCAGGAATGTACAGGAAAGAAGGACAAATGTGAACGGTAACCACAGCAAGGAAGTGGGAAGAGGGTTGTTACATCGTTGAGATTGCAATCCATGTCACAAAATAAAATGTTGTTATTGTTGTTGTTAAGTGCCGTCGACTCGTTTCCGACTCATAGCGACCCCATGCACAGCAGAACGAAACACTGCCCAATCCCGCACCAGCCCCACAATCCCTGCTATACTTGAGCCCATCATCGCAGCCACCATGTCAATCCATCTCAATGAAGGCATCCCCCTCTTCTATC